TGAATTAGATTGCCTTGTTGCCGACCCTGCCTGACCTTGATTTGCTGACTGTCTCCTGCTCTGATCCCTGGCTTGTCTGACCATTCTCCTGTCTAATCCTGCATGTTTTGATCTCCTGTTACCGAACCCGGCTTGTGACCAGTTTATCCTTCTGTCTACTGTTTTTGTACCGTTCTGCCTCCACTGCTACTGACCCGGCCTGCCCGACTCCGCTCTCTCTACCTCCTTACATCAGGCTCTCACCTGCTATACACCTCCCGTAGTGCTTCTACCACAGCTGGGTGAACCCAGGGGCTGCAACCTGGTTTCGGCCTGCTCAAAGTCCATCCCCGCCATCAGGGGCCCTGGTGAACAAGCAGGTCAGGGCTTAGATTCCGCGCCTTGGGGAATTCCGGTCTGTGGAACGCTAGAGGCTACTGCCGGCAGGTCCTTAACACCCTCCCTGTTTGGATCCCTCAAGGTTCTATCCTCGGGCCCCTTCTCCATCTACACCTCCTCCCTGGCCAATTGATACACTCTCATGGCTTCAACTACCATCTCTATGCCGATGACATGCAAATCTATCTCTCTACCCCTCACCTCACCCCTTCAGTCTCCGTCCGTATTACAAGCCTACTGAGTGACATATCAGCATGGATGTCACTCCACTTCCTCAAACTAAATCTTTCCAAAACTGAGCTCTTAGTTTTCCCCCCAGCCCCCCCCCCCCCCGGCTTCTCCATCAAGACCAACAACACCACCATCAGTCCCTCCCCTCAAGCCAGAGTACTAGGTGTAATCCTAGACTCCAATCTGTCCTTCCAGCCCCAGGTCCATTCGCTGACAAACTCATGTATACTTCACCTCCGCAACATCTCCAAAATACGATCGTTCCTAACCCCGGAAACCACTAAGCAACTCATTCACTCCCTCATTATATCACGCCTCGACTACTGTAACTCCCTCCTCATCGGCTTACCTCACCGAAGGCTATCCCCTCTTCAGTCTATCTTGAATGCTGCGGCCAGACTCATCCACCTTACTAACCGCTCCGTATCTGCCACCCCTCTCTGCCAATCCCTCCACTGGCTTCCGATTGCCCAACGGATAAAATTCAAATTGCTAACATTGACGTATAAAGCTGTTCATAATACTGCCCCAAACTACATCACCGATCTGGTATCCAAATACCACCCAAAACGTACTCTCTGCTCCTCACAAGACCTCCTACTCTCTAGTTCCCTGGTCTCCTCCTCCCATGCCCATTTCCAGGACTTCTCCACGGCTTCCCCCATCCTCTGGAACTCCCTATCCCAATTCTTAAGATTATCACCTACTCTCCTCACCTTTAGGTGCACTCTGAAAACCCATCTCTTCAGGGAAGCCTACCCCGCCCTCAGCTAATTACTAAACTCCTCCACTCTTCCTACCACTCCATCCACCATAGCTATTTCCTCCTGTACCATTATCCCCTCCCTCCTAGATTGTAAGCTCCAAGGAGCAGGGCCCTCGAACCCCTCGTGTATTGAATCGTATTGTTACTGTACTGTCTCGTGTACTGTCTCCTATTATAATGTACAGAGCTGAGCAAACTGTTGGCACTATATAAATCCTGTATAATAATAATAATAATAATAGATGGAGGAGCAGGTTTTTTCCAGTTCAGAGATATGACCTTTCTAGCGTAGAACATTGGTTCACATGTGTCCTACCCTCGCAGGGGTGGAGAAGGTTAATCACACATCCAAGAAATATAACAAGACTGCATCAAAAGAAGCTCCGAGACACCCACATGGTCGTCGTCACTACCAACTAAGAAATGATGACCTTTCTAGCGTAGAACAATAATAGGTTAATCAGGGTGCGTTCACCTACAGTGGGCAGGAGATCACTTACCAGACCTAACAAACACACACCGACATGGAAGGTTGTAAGGGGGCCGAGGTCAACTTATCGCACAAGGATATTACCTCCTTTCAGAAATCAGACAACGCAGCACAATGCCAAAACACACAGGCAAAATCTCACAGTGAGCCCCCACAACGCCAACATTCAGCGGAGTGTGTTGAACTCATTTTGTGAAGCCTATATGGGGTGTAATAGGCCCGATGTACTATCTTGAACTGGATCAAACGGTCCCACAAAGAGACCAGAGAGTGAAAAGGCAAATCCCAAATATCATCCCAGTCATCATCATCCAAAAGTGCAAATTTAACAGAGGGATACAAAGTTCTAGATATTCTAGTAGTAACAGGATGGATTGATAGGCTTCTGGATTAGTGTCTTTAGACATCATAGAGCATTAATCATGGTTTAATTGTAGGGTATGTTGATGTGTATACCTTGTGACTTATCAGGCATGCTAGCAGTAAAGCTTGTGAGTTTCTTATAGGAAAATTGTACTTTTCTCTCTGGGCCACCATGATTGAATTTGATTCAATAACTAAAGCTAAGAAGTAATGATGTAGGTTGTGTAGGGAGAGTCTTCCCGACCTTTCGTGTTTAATTAGGATAGAGTATAAGTGTTACTTTTTTGCCATCCCAAATAAACGTGCTTGTTATACAGTAGATCAAATTTTCAGAAAAAATAAGGCAGGTGGGATGACTATATGGATAGTCTTAACCACTTCAATACCAGGCACTTTTACCCTCTTCATGCCCAGGCCAAATTTCAGCTTTCAGTGTTGTGGCACTTTGAATGACAATTGTGCAGTCATGCAACACTGTACCCATAAAAAAAGTATAATTTTTTTCACACAAATAGAGCTTTCTTTTGGTGGTATTTAATGACCACTGGGTTTTTTATATTTGCTAAATAAACAAAAATTTATTTCTGTTATTTTTTCATAATTTCTTCATAAATTTAGGTCAAAATGTATTCTGCTACATTTCTTTGGTGAAAATACCCCAAATTAGTGTAATTATTTAGTCTGTAGGAAAGTTAGAGCCCACAAACCATGGTAAATACATCTGTCAATCGATCAATCCTGATGTACTGACGGCCCATCTCATTTCTTGAAACCCGAAAATGCCAGGACAGTTCAAACACCCCCAAAATTACTGATTTTTGGAAAATAGACAGTCCAAGATATTTAGTAAGAGGCATGGTGAGTTTTTTTTGGAGGTTGTAATTTTTTGTTACAGTTTTTTGGAAAATGTAGATATTTAAAAAAAAAATCATTTTTAATTTTTTTTACATATTGTCACCAGTCCAGTACAGCGTTATTATATAACTGGCGTGGCAGTGATCAGGGACACTGACTGGTGACAGTATGTAAAAAATATAAAAGTAATAATAATTTATTTATTTTTTTTTAATTTTTCTATTTTTTTTATTTTTTATTACATTATTTTTTATTTTTTTTATACATTATGATTGCTAGTACCAATGTATTTCATTGATATTTGCAATTATTGTTACTGAACGAAACTGATTCATTCAGTCTTTTGTTTAGCTTTGTGATTAGCTGCGATTGTGCTAAGCTCATCACATGATATAGAAGGGCTGTATTTGGCCATGTATGTACCATGTGACTGCTTTGACCAATCACAGTTAACAAGACAATTGTATACAATGGATGGCAGGACAGGAAGCCATCCATTGTATACAATTGTCATGTGATCTGCTGCGATTGGTCACAGCAGTCACATGACACTGGCAACGGGCCGGAGTCGTCATATGTCATCAGCTGTTTCCCGTGGACACAGCCAGTGGCAGATAGCGACGCTGCTTGGCCCTGTGGCCGCGTGAGCGGCTCCTTCTGACAGGACGTCGTATGACGCCCAGTCAGAAGGAGGAGTGTTCCACCCAGCTGTCAATCTGCTATAGTCCGGGCAGGAAGGTGTTAAATAAGTAGAGAATTTTTGTGAGATCATCTTTGCCTATATTTGAAAGTTCAAGTTTATTCTTTATATGAGGTATTTATATACCGAAGTATTAAAAGTGTTATAAAGGCAAAAAAAAGAGAGCTATGAACCCTTCAGGGGTTTTTTTTTGCCATCGGTGTCCCATTGGGGAGATTTCCTTTTACTTCCTGTCTCATGGCCAAAACAGAAAGTGAGAAGAAATCCCTCCAAAGTGAGGAAACCCAGAGTGTCAACAGAACTTAGTGTCCCCATTGAAAGATTTCCCCTCCATTCTCGTTATGAGGTCAACCCAACATTTGGGAGTTTCTTTTACTTTCAATTTTGATGATCATGCTAAACAGGACAAATAGAGAGGGTGAATCTCCCTAACAGGGGCACAGATGACAGTATAACACCTCTCCACTCTCCAAATCCAAAATGAAAAAGAAAACCTTTAGTGACACCTAAATAGAAGAGGATGGCCATAGGTAACCATTTTTCTTTTCATGTGTACTGTTCCTTAAAAAAAAGTATGTAAAAAATAAGGTGGGAAATTTCAAACAGATTCTTATCCAGACATGCAACCTCGGTGGCCAAGAAATAGAGTGCAGTGAGCATGTGCCCTCTCCCTTCCTGTACCATACCAGGCCTTTTAACAATGGGGGGTAGCTTGTAAGGGGCTAAGCTCCCTACCTACTGTATGCAAGGCATCTTGTCCCAATGTTGAGGGACAAAGGTCTCAACATTTTGGGGGATGTTGGGGGGATGTATAGTTATTTGGAGGTCCCCTTTATTGTAAGAGGCCCCCAAATATCTGCCCTTCCCCAGTAATACATTAGTGCCTATTAAATTTTTCCATGAAGAGTTAAAAGGATTCTCACAAAATCTTTTAATACAATGACGTTGTCCAATGATATAGACCTATTGTCAATCCCCCAACAATGTTTCCCCAGCTCTGTGGTAACGTAAAGACAGCAATGGGGATCCTGGGTGATGTATTAGACCATATTTTACCCAGAATCCCCAGTTGTCTGTTTATATTTCAGCAGCCAGGGATCTGTCATTTAGTGGCGGTGAGGCAGCAAGGACCTGACATTGGGCGATGGGTCTTTGTACTTGTCAATGTATCTATATTATTGATGTTGGATTTACAACAATGTTTCCCCAGCACTGTGGTAACCAGGGGTGGACTGACCATTTGGAAACTCGGGCACTGCCCTAGGGCCCGGGGTCAGTAGGGGGCCCCATGAGATGCCCTGGTACCTTTTTCATAGGATTTTTTGAGTTTGGACAAGGACACAGGGGCCCCATCATTCACTATTGCCCGGGGGCTCCATGAGTTGTCAGTCCGCCCCTGGTGGTAACGTAAAGACAGCAGCGGGTATCCTGGGTGATGTATTAGACCATATTTTACCCAGAACCCCCAGTTGTCAGTTTACATTTCAGTAGCCAGGGATCTGTCATTTAGTGGCAGTGGGGTAGCAGGGAACTGACATCGGGTGACGGTCTTTGTGCTTGTCAATGGATCAATATTATTGACGTTGGATTTACATCAGGGAATGTTATTTTTACATTTTTATGTAGTTTGAATAAAAGTTCATTTTATAATTTTATTAAACCTGACATGCTGCTTTAAGGCATCCCCCAAGCATATTATCTAAGGGATTTGTTCACTTTATACTATGCCTTTTACACCACATGGAAAACCTTCTCCCTGCTTAATGGTATTTTTAAAATAATATTTTTGCTTTGGCACATCCCCCATGGCAGTGCACTGCTACTAATACCTATTTCAACAAAAGCCTGCAAATTAGCCTTGAAAAAGACCACAAAAAATCCAAGATTCACCTCCCACAGGCTTTAATACAAAGCTTAGCTTTTACAGGATATTCCTTTCCAAAGCTCCGTATCTGCTGATCGATTTGACACGTAGTTTTTATTGAATGTAACCTTTGATTATGTTCCATGCTCAATTTGAATTGCTCAGTCAAGCTACAACTTTAAAGTGTATATAAAAATATAATAGTAAAAATATAATAGATTGTAGCTTGCCAGTCCTTAGATGCTCTAGTTACATTCATTACCCTGTTTTGGGTGTTTTTGGTTTTTTTTTTAACTCCCTTACTTTGATTTCACCTGGTGATCTGGCCAGTAACATACATCCTCTGCTAGGGTGACAACGCTCACTATAATGTATACATTCTGTTAACTATTAAAGTCACCCACAGAGGATCTAGATCTGCTTTTGAAATTTAGCGCATAATAATTTCCTTAAATTAGTTTTAAAGGCTCAATTTTTAATTTTAAAATAATAAACTTACCTGATATGTGCAATGGTTTTGCACAGAGTGGCCCTGAGTCTCCTCTTCTAGGGCCCCCCACTTGCTCTCTTGGTTCCTCCTCTTCTTTGTCTGCCCCAATAGCAAGCTCTTGCTATGGGGGCATATATGCCAGGCTGTGTGCATCTATTGATACACACAGTGCGGCTCAGCCCCAACCCCCGGCTCCTTCCTCACAAGATTTGATTGACAGTGGAAGGAGCAGATGCTCCCACTGCTGCCTCTGTGTCATATGAGAAGAGAAACAGAGACTAGCGCAGCTGCAAATGGGCACAGTGCAGGATGGAAAGGGGAGCCAGGTAAGTATTTGGTGGGGCGCTGATACTGGAAAGGTTTTTTTTTTTTTTATCTTAAAAAAATGTATGCTTTTAGAATTACTTTAACTACATCCTATAAAGAATTGCTTCATGTCTGATTAACCTATCTATAGGAATAACCATTGTTACATAGTGGTGAAGCTGTGAGGTATCTTTCAGAAAATCAATGTTTTCCCTGGCTTTAGGAGCGATGGGCTACAGGCTCAGATTTGTGCTGGTAGCTGCTAGTTGTCAGGCAAAAGGTATGGAGGTGGTGAACCTATGGTGCAGTGGTAAGCACACTGAGGCTTCATTCTCAAAGTGATACCTTTATCTGCTAGTTTAGGTTTAGGGTTTTTTTTAAAGCAGAACATATCTTGATCATGTCTTAGGTTTTCAGCCCTGTCACCCTATAAAATTAGCCCCTGTATTTACAGTGGAATTTAAAAGTGTGGGCACCTAAACTAGTGACTGAAGTACAGATTTGGGATCCTGATTGTTATCAGATGTCATCCAGTGCTAGGAAGTCTTTTAACTAGTTGCAGACTTTGGGCATGCTACACATGTCCAGAAAAGCTTCATCCTTTCATACAGGATGTGTGTAGCACATCCAGTCTCTCTGCAAGTATACAGTAATTGTTATCTTTAATCAGAGCCAGCATTACTGTACACTCAGAGAAGGTATGGACAGCTGTAGCTGTCAAAAACAGTCTGAATTAGTGCTTATAAACAACCCTGCTCCAGACATAATAATACAAAGATACAAAGTAACATGTTGCTTCTATATTATTCTGTTCATTCATCTGCAGATCAAAGGGATGAACTTAGATCTGCAAATGGTGTCTATTAAACACTTGCCCTCCAGAGCATTTACCCCACTTCTTGACCAGGACATTTTTTCTGTTACTTTCACTGATAATAATTGCGTGGTCATGCAACACTGCACCCTAATGAAATTTACATCCTTTTGTTCCACAAATAGAGCTTTCTTTCAGTGGCATTTGATTGCCTGTGCGGTTTTTATTTTTTGCGCTATAAAAAAAAACGACAATTTTGAGAAAAAAACTATATTTTTCGACTTTTTGCTATTAAACATGTCCAGTAAAAAAATGTAAAAAAATCAAATTTCATCATAAATTTGGGCCAAAATGTATTCTGCTACATGTCTTTGCTAAAAAAAAAACCAATACGTGTAAATTAATTGGTTTACGTGAAAGTTATAGCATTTACCAATAGGGGTATATATACTGGGATTTTCTTTTTAATTTTTACTAGTAATGGCAGCGATCAGCGACTTGTAGTGGGACTGTGGCATGCATTTTGACACTGGGGGGGACGGACTTGGCGTCACTGACATCCCCAGTGACACCAATACAGTGATCAGTGCTAATAAAAAGCACTGACACTGTACTAATAGCACTGGGCAGGAAGGGGTTAACATGTGGGGTGATCAAAGGGTTAACTGTGTGCTATGTGTGTTCTACTGTGGGGCTAGGTTTTTGTGCTTCACTGTAAGCACACAAAATGATTGCTTTTACAGCCTTTATGGGTGTAAAGGCAATTAGTGTAAAAAAAAAAATAAAATCTTCATCACCCCCCACAGGTAGTACAGTATGTTAAAAAAAATAAAACATAAATAATAATATAAAAAATAAATAAAATAAAAAAATGTCAAAAAATGTTTTTAAAAATTATAATTTTTGGTTATAAACTAATTTGGGTTATTTATTTTTTTTACTAAAAAGATAGATTAATACATTTTGGCCAAGATTTATGAAGAAAGATTATTTATTTGCAATTTTATTTGCAATTTTATTTGCATGATGCGCTTCTTCCATGATTGTCACATGATAGGATCATGTAGCAATCGATGCAAAAAATTGGGTGCAGCACGTTGCCCGAAAATGTGTAGGAGCTTCAAGTGAATGGGCTTTCCCTAAGTGACATGCAGAATGGCACAACAATCATGCTTTGAAAATCATGTAGCTGGGAACACTCGTTCCCACTACATGATATGTGAATGGGACCTTAAAATGGTTGTAAACCTCAGACATAAAATATGAACAAAGCATATCCCTCTATAGTGTGTATTTCTCTCAATCCAGAGAACCAAGTGTCATTTCTGTCTGCTATAATGGTGTGAACCTCCTGCGCTCACAATAATTTTAAACAATAATATTAAAAGCAAGAAGCTGCCAACATTAAATCATATATCCAATGATCCTCGAAACAAAAATGTAAAAAAAATGTAGCGCTAATCACTAAAAGAAAAATAAAGCAATGTGCAAATAGATCCCCTCAATTATAAGTGAATAAACGTGTCTACTAAAATAGCCTCGTGCTTATAAACACACAAAAACAAACTCCTATAGTGATGGTGAAAGAAACAGTCCTATTGACTGATAACAGTGCGTGTTTTAACAAATATACATAAACACACAGAGTGCACTCAATATATATATATATATATATATATATATATATATATATATATATATATACACACCTACACAAATCTCATAGAGTGAATAAAAGCAACCTCATGTGCAAATGTGAACTCAAATTAGTGCAATAATATACACACAATAATCTATTTCCATGCGTTTTTTAAAGTCCAACTTTCAATAATCATACTCCAGTGAACAAAATAACACGTGCTGATATCCGTGTGAAAAAAAACGTAGATTGATAGCTGTATAAAAAAATCATCCGATCATCGGCTGAATTAGCCTCTCACCTTACAGACTCGACCCTTGCGAGTCAAAGCGTTTTTATAGGATCCCTCTCACAGATCCTCCAGTTTAGTATCACTCCAAACGACAGCTCCCAATATGTGCAGATCTCCCTCTAGGGATCAGGACTCCAATAATAGCTCCTTCTCCAGACAGGATCACATATTGCGCTAACCACTCAATATGGGTTTGTAGCCAGACTGACTACATAGGAAGAAGATCGTGATTTGTTACAACTAATAATGATCTGTGCTTTTTATGTCTGCAAAGTTTGGTTTGAGATTCAAAGAACATCAGCAATTGAGGATGGGAGATGGTGAACCAAACCCATATTGAGTGGTTAGCGCAATATGTGATCCTGCCTGGAGAAGGAGCTATTATTGGAGTCCTGATCCCTAGAGGGAGATCTGCACATATTGGGAGCTGTCTTTGCATGGCTGTGCATAGCACAGCCATGCAAAGCAGTGTGCTTACAGTGAAACACAAAAACACAGCCCCCCAGTGAAACACACAGTACACAGTTAACCCTTTGATCACCCCACATGTTAACCCCTTCCTGCCCAGTGCCCTTAGTACAGTGTCAGTGCTTTTTATTAATTATCATTGTATTGGTGTCACTGGGGATGTCAGTGACACCAAGTCAGTTTCCCTCCGTGTTAGAATGCCTGCCTCAGTACGGCTATAAATTGCTGATCGCCACCATTACTAGTAAAAAAATTTTTTAAAAATCCAGTATATATACTGTACCACCATTTGTAAACACTATAACTTTCCTTTTTTTTTTTTTAGCAAAAGACATGTCGCAGAATACATTTTGGCCTAAATTTATAATTAGATTTTTTTTTTAATTTTTTACTGGACATGTTTAATAGCAAAGAGTCAAAAATATTGTTTTATTCTCAAAATTGTTGGTCTTTTTTTTTTATAGCGCAAAAAATTTAAAAACCGCAAAAAATGTTCAAATACCACCAAAAGAAAGCACTATTCATGGGAAAAAAGGACGTAAATTTAATTTGGATGCAGCGTTATATGACCGCGCAATTGTCAGTTAAAGTAACGCAAAAATGGCCTGGTCAGCAAGGGGGGTAAATCCTTTGGAGGGCAAATGGTTAATCAC